CAGGTTTACAGGTGTAGTTGAAGACTGCAAACAGCATTACTCCAGTATAAAATGAACTAGCCCTTTTAAAGTCTGTACCACTCTGCACCCTAAAACTGCCTCATGATAAACTTGCTATACTGGTGGCTCCAGATCTTACTATAATATACCCATTAAGAACAACAACAAAAACCTCAGCAATTGCTATCAGGTAGGAGATAATAGCTGTTAGAAAGCAAAGAAATAAAAACACAAGCTAAAACAGGAAGTAAGCATTTTGAATCCAACTGAAACCACAAAGGAAGCAAAAAATAACTGCCAAAATAATTCAGTCAGTCAATATCCAAATAGGTAATGCACTATTATAACAAAGACTTATAAGCCTCATGACAGTAAATTTATTTCAAATAATTTCAAAATAATATTTGGTAAATTAGCCACGCTGACTGATTTTCTGGAACCAGAGCTACTCTACATGCTATAAAGGAAATGCACAGTAGCGGGAAGAGGATGGAGCAAGGGAGATGACTTTGTTGACCACATGGATTAAAACTAGGGCATGCTACAGGACTTTTTGAAGGTTCAGGAAACCCCTAATATCAGGCCCAGCATCATCCAATTCTTCTAGAAGCTGGAAAATATGTAATCTTGTTTAGTTATATATTCCTCTCCCAATGCTTTCACTATCCTCTCTGTTCCTCAAGGCTATTAAAAAGGCTTTGCCTGCTACTCTGATTCAGCCTCACCCCAAAATTTACAGTAATACATTTTATCTTATAATACAGTATATTGGGTGTTTTCATTCCTATTTGAATGATAACCATTTTCTACTGTCTCAGGAAATTATGTGGGTGTTATATTATTTCTACCTCTGGTAACAAAAGTTCTGACAAGGAAGTATATCACTGGATAGCTGCAGACTTATAGAAAACAATCCTAACAAAACAATTTGTGGTCCTTTCCCAAGTGGATCCCACTGAAATACCTAAGCATAGGAAGAAATTAAAGACAAAAACAAAAACAGTGAAGGAATGAAAGGAGGAAAATTGGGGAAAGAACAGGTACCGACTGTGCCTCCCACAATGGCAGATGTCAGTGAGTGGCACCTGTAACACCTTTCATAACAGGATCTGACCTGTTTGACTGATATTCCCTATGGCTATGATTATTCCACTTTCTCATCTTTGGAAATAAACTGATGACATCTTCTCTGTCTGGTACTTTAATACTTCTCCCACCCCTGCTTCTCCCTCTTTGATATGTTAATTTCCTTATTTCCATTCTTTCAAAATGTCATTCTTTTAAAGCATTATTATACCTCAGGTACTATCTTATCTACGGCCTATCTTTACCCTTCTCCCACCTCCACCAAATGAACAATATTCAATTCACCCTTTTCTTTTCTACTCAATACAGGTGCCAAAGCCTTTTAAAATCTCTCATCTGTATAAACCAAAAGAGAAAATACCTGACTTTTTCCCTCAAATTTGTGTAATAAATTCCCATAACTATTCAACCTAGAACCTTGACATTTAAGGCAATTCCTTACTTTTATAATATGTAAGAAAGTATTTTTAACTTACTCATTTGGATAGTCATATCTGTATGCTATTTTTTAAAAAAATGACATTCCCTTCTAACAAAAATAGCAACGACGACAATAAAAACTCATTTTCTCTTCCTCTTCCAAACATCATCTCTTTCTGAGAGGTTTTTTTTTTCCTTTCACCTGTGCTCTACTTCTACAACTTGACGCTAATTCAGTCCCTAGAATTTCCTCTCTTTTTTGGCCTTACTGAGGCTTCTTATTTCATATCCTCATTTCTCACTCTCTTGAAACTGCCATCCTCTTTTTCTTGCTTTGCCACCACTTCACAATTTCAATGCCAGACACCCCAGCTCATTTATTCTAAGAAATTAAAACTCAGCTAAGAGAAAACTTAAGTCTCATTATACATGTTCTACAGGAAGGAAGACCTATACATATACAGTTTAAAAACTGCCCACTCATGGCCTTCCAAACTGAATAAAGGCAGGCAACAAAACTCAAGTCAAGGTCACAAAAAACTGCTATACTTTCAGCAACACTCATTCAGCAAACCCAGCAGCTTCCCTGATTTTTACAAAAACCAAACTCTATTTTTTGGGGGCGGGTATCGGGGATTGAACTTGGAGCCTTGTGTTTGCGAACCAAATTCTATTTTAAAGTGAACATTCTTAAGACATTCTCCTTAAGACATTCTCCTTAAGACATTTTCCTTAAGACATTCTCCAGTCTCCCCAGAGCAGCCTTTTAGTACAATGATTATCCAGAGGAAGAGAAAAGAAAATAAGGCTGGTGCAAGCCTTTCTTTACGACTCCTCCCCAATCCTCACCCCACCCCAGGTCCCAGATTCTTATCATCCCTAAGACTTATTTTATTTACTTATAACCAAGGCATAAGATTGAGACAAGATTGTCTCCCAGGAATCTTAAATGAACTCCAGGTCCTCTGTGCCCCCCCAACTTTTTTTGGTAACAGGGATCGAACCCAAAACCTTGCACTTGCAAGGCAGGTGGCAGCACCACAGAGCTAAATCCCTAGCCCTGTGGCCCTCTTTTTGGCTATTCAATTTCAGCTGGAAATAGACAAGTTATTTTAAAATTGTATTCATTCTTTTTCTTTTCTCTCTTCTTCAAAAAACCTAAATTCATCTCAAGCTGTCTAACACTGATTCCACAGCTTAAGGATATATATTCCTGACAAGGCTGACTTATGACGCAGAAGATATATTAACAAAAAAGTCCACTGATCTTCTAGTAAAAGTTCTACCACTTTTTCAACCCCATCACACTTTTCTACTCCTATTGCAAAGACCTTATTTCCAGCCCTAAGTATCAACTATTACATTACACAAATAGCAATCTTCCTAATATACAGCTACAAATGTGGATTCCTTTCCAACAATCATTTCAGCTTCTCTATTGCCTATTTTAACTACAGGTGTGGATCACATATTCAAGAGGATCTTAAATATGGTCACCTTACCAAATATTTCCCTTTATTTCATGTCTCTATAAACAGTAATCCTTATTTTATTTCACTTCCTAGCACTTTTGACTACCTGACAATCATACGTTCGTGCTTCTTGACTATGTCCTTCTACTAATGAAACTCTTCCCATGTTCACCCTTTTGTTAACCCATGTATCCTCAGCACCTGGAATATGTTAAGTTCTCAATACATATTTGTGGAAAGAATGAACAAATATGCAGCACAGTATTACAGCTAACTTAAAGCTAGACGACCTGCATTAGAACTACAATTTCTTCAGGGTAACTTTCTTAGTCTGTAAAAGCAAAGAGTCAAACCCAATACAATGCCGTCTAAGCTTCTCCAGCTGTATTACCCTACATTCTTGTCTAACTGAACACCTCTCCAACTTCCCTATCTATATCTTTTCTCAGTTTCCTTCCACATGGAATCTCTTAATACACACCTGTCAGAATACTGTTCATTCTTCAAGTTCATTTTAAGTACTATGTTCTCTTTGAAGCTTTAACAAATTGTAAGCTCTGTGAGAGGAGGGTGGAGTTCTTACTTCTATTCTTGGTCGGTACAATGACTCCCATACAGGTGATCAACCAACAACTAATGAATCATGAGTGTGTGTATGAATGAGCAAATGAGCAAAGGAAGCCTTTCATGATTCTCCCCAACTGTAATCTCGTGCCTTTGGACTCATAACACTTGCTATCTTTTATGATACTTACCATATTATACCTTATAATGTTATTAATAGATATTAAGCAGCAAATTCCTTAAGATTAAAGACTGTCTTGATGGTTTTCATATACCTTACAGCATCTGTCATGGATCTTTGCCACCGTTGTACTTTTAAAATTTTATTAAATACATTAAAAAAGGAATAATACAGGAGACAAGTGGGCTTCAATACACAGGTACCATTTCAATTCCAACTTTATTATGGTCGCCTTTGGGCGTTCGCGTTATGTTATACTGAGACATTCAAGCATAGTTCAAAGACATCATCATTCTAAACTCTCCACACTCTGCTTAACTACCGATACTTTCAAAAGTACAATAACCACGCTGTGTATCACATAACTACATCCCTTCTCTTACAGTACAGTGATCCACTCACACATCAATACTTTCACTTCACTAAATAAGCGACGTGACCTTTCTGCTCATTTTAGACTTCTATTCCATCAGTTCCCTCCTCTGCAAGGTATGAAACAATATGAAACAATCTTTTTTAAAAAATCCCTTACGGTCTGCCTTTCTTAGTTCTGCTTTCGAAAGACGAAAAGAACCAGATTTAAATCTTTTCTTTTCCTAAGAAGCTATTTCCTAATTAATCTCAATCTCCAGCACCTTTTTGACATCAAGATTTTTGACACTCTCTAGCTCTACGTCCAAGCTCTTACTCAGCTTCATGGAACCTTTCTGGCTGCACAATAGCTGGTGCTTTTCCGTTCAATATGTTCTCACCATCAGGTACCAAGTCCCAAAGTATCTGGATCTTCTTTCTGAAATGTGCACCAATCGCTATCCTCCCCCCACCCCACACAGTCTCACAGGCACACACTACTCACGCATCAGTCTACCTCCGACCTACAAGTTCCTTCCACCACTCCTAATGAACAGGACTCTAATAATGGTATCTCCCAATCACTGTTTTTAGCCTAGTTTTTTTATTTATTTATTTATTTTTCCCCTGGAGAACACAACCTTGTTCACCGAACCTCCCTCTTTCCTCACTTCGCCATCCATTCTCCTCTTCATGATCCACCCAAACGGGCCAAATAACCACAGGTAACATTATTTCTCGGTACTCTCAACCTGCAAATGAAGAACAAGCTTCTGCTTCCTGCGGTCTATTCACCTCCCGTCTGCCCTCACCCCCACCACACACCAGGTGTGCTGTGTCTTCTCCTGCATCGTTCCAGCCAATGCCACACCATACCACGTTTCCCTTGCCGCGAGGATCAGACTCCTCCACACCCACCTCCACTCTGGGTCGCCGCCGCCTCCCCGGGCGCCTCTTCCCACCTCTAGCTAGCGAGCCTGAGACTCCCGGCGCGCGCACACACATTCTCACGCTTCCCCAACCTCCCCTCTGGCACCGGCACCCGCCGGCTGCGGGGGACCTCAGCGAGTGGTGGGTGCTAAGCACCCAGGCAGGCGAGTGCGTGATCCCTCGCCCCGCCGACCCCCTCGCAGCCACTCCCCTGCCTTCCAGCCCAAAAAGGAGAGGACACAGCAACTCCCCCACCACTCCGGACATACCACCTCTAGGTCTGTTGCTCCAAGCCCCAACGCTTCGCCCGCTTCCACCGGTCCTAGGCCGGCCTCAGCACTCACCGGAGATACTGCGCGCTCTGCAGGCTCATCCTCCGCCGCCGCGTCTTCCCGCGAAGCTTCCGTGGGTCTCTTAGGCTCCTCGGAGCGGCCCCGCGATACCGCGGGTGCTGGCGGCCGCCGCCATCTTCCTCTCCTCTGGCTCCTCCTCGCTCGGCAGGGCGGGGGGGCGGGCGATGAGCGAGGTGAGGGGGAGGGAGCGAGGAAAGCTGCTCTAGCTGCTGCTGTAGCTCTTGGGGCGCAGGGACACTCCGACCCGAGAGGGGGAAGGGGGAGGGATAAGGGAGGGGGCGGTGGAAAGAGGAGGGAGAACTAGAGGAAGGAAGTGGGAGAGGTCCCTCTCGCGAGAATCAGAGCGCTGGTCCCTCAGGGCGACTTCCTGCTCTCGGGTCAGGTCCCTCTTCGAATCAACGGGTTTTGTGGCGCCCCGGCGGCAGCCGAGAGCCCTTCTGATGGCGTTTGGAGGCTTCCTGCCGATCCACCCCTCTCCTCCCGCGCGAGGGGACAACCACAGCCCACCGGGAACATAGAGCCCAAATCAGCAAGGAGTTACACTTAAAGTCTTCCCCTCCACACCCCACACACTTTTTCCTCTTCCTTCTTCCACTCCTCCACTCTTCCCCACTGGAAACACTGCCCCTTCCTTCTATAGTTCCACCAGCCAGTCCCACGATTCTTGTCTTCCCTCGCCCTCTGGAGAATGACGCGAAGGCCACGCTCCAGTCTGGTGCTCTCCCCATGCAAGCTAGGAAACTTTTGGAGGGGATAGGGTGGGGCCCAAGAGGAAGAGGAAACCAATCGGACTGGATACGTAGCTGCCATGGCAACTGGAGCTGTGGTTGTATTGTCATAGTAACCGGTGTGAGCGGACAGGGTTGACCCTCCCCTTGGCGAATGGATTTCCCCGGATTCCCCCTTAGGTTCCCTTCCATCTCAAGACCTTCCCTAGGTTGGGAATCGTGATTCTCCCGGACAGTGAAATCTATTTCTTAGTCCCGTCCCCCTTCCCGCAGCAATTGGGGGGAGACCCTGAGGCATTCACCGTGGGCATTTCCACCCGCCAGTGGGCAGGAACCACCTCCATAGTTTCCGTTCAGAGTCAGGTGTGAAGAGGGCCGGGCTTAAGAAGATGCAGGGCCTGAAGCAGGCGGATGGTGGGCTGGAGCAGGGAGGGCGCGGCCCCTGGCTTCCCAGAAGGGCGAGGGGTTTCCCCACAACTGCCTCGGGCTCTTGGAGGCGGGATCCCAATCGGCCGGGGTCCCTGAGGGAGGTGAGCGGCACACGACAGCAGATAGCCCTCCCGCAGACTTTCCCTAGATAGTTGACCCCTTCCCGAAATCCCCCCACCACACACCCTCCTACACACGCACGCACACACACCCACACGCTCCTTGACTGAGCTTCCGGGAACCCGCTGGGAGAGGTTAGGATGAAGACACATCCTAGAAAGCTCACAAGTGGTTTTTCCAGCGTTTAGAATCCAGAACAAGTAGAGAGGCTCGCAGAGACACCGCATCCCACCGAGATGGAGATCTTGATTGTTAAAGGCACATCTCCAAATTCTTCGTCTGCAACCTCCTTCCTCTCTGACGAGGCTGCTGTGTTTCAGAACTTGTCACCATTTTTGGAGTTAGGGAGGAAAGTACCGAGTAAAATAATATCAAGAAGAACCTAGATATTTGGGATGAAAGTCCAGTGAAAGCCTAGGAGAACCTAGATATTTGGGATGAAAGTACAATGAAAGCCTAGGAAATGAATTTTCTATTTTTAATAAAGCAAATACTTTTAAATGTCTATTATGTGCATTTCGTGTCAGGGTTGGGGCTAAAACAAAGGCGTAAAGAATGAGTAATATAAGAAATGGTGGAGAAGTCATTTTAGTGGTTTGAAGGAATTATTTGACATTTTACTAATTTGATTTTCATGGTGTCACATTACCACCTATCCCAAAATACTTTCGGATGAGTAAGGGCATAAGATCCTTCAGGAATGCAGCCCTCACTGATAATTAAAATTCTCCATTGGTCTATTTTGGTTTGAGTACCTGATTCCTCCTGTCTTTCCATGCTAGCTGAGGAGGTACTCTCAAGGTCCTTTTCAGAGACCGCACCTATTGAGTGGACCAGTGTTTATTTGGAACATCATGTACGACCTACTTTGAAATAAATCCCAAGGACAGGTGGTCATTAACGAAATACAAAGTGAGCTATCCCCCTCATGCTGCAAGCTAGCGCCTAGTATGATGCGCTATGACGCTCAGTGATTGCGGCAGTACAGTGCTCCAATCACCCCGCCTGGCTACGACGGAAGCGCAGCCCACTCACAGGAAAGAGAGCCACCTAGTGATTGTTCTTATCTGTGCTGTATCATCTTGCTTTTCCTTCAAACCCTGAGAGCCCAAGGATAGAAAGTACTGCTATACATTTCCTCAAAAATCCTATATTTCTTTTCCTAAATTTATTAATTATATTTTTAAAATATTTTAACCATTATTTTGTGTTCTATAAAATAATTACTGATTTATTAATCATAATGACCTTTAATGCTAGGGTACATAGTTTTGGTAAACACTATATGAGCAAGTTCTTACATTCCTGATGCTATGAAAATATTACTATTTTATCATTTTGGAAAAAATGGGATCAAAGATGAATCCTTTCTATTTTATTTAATAAATATTGACTAAACACTATGTTTCAGGTACTATCCAGGATGCTGTGGATACCATAATGAAGGAGATATGGACCCTGTCATGGAAGAACTCACCTGCTGGTAGAGACAGTAAAGAAATTATTAGGATGCAAAATGATAGGTGCAGTCAATGAGGTATGAACAACCAAAGGAACATAGATGGGGCCAGAAATAATAAATTTTTGATTTTATAGCCGTCTTCCTACATATTTTATTAGATTCATTAATAGCTTTACATTATCCCTACAAACTAGATAGAATTATGATAACACATATCTTACAGACTAAAAAACATTAATGTTGATCTTATAAATAATTTCCAAAAAACAACAGGATTCAGGAAAATTAGTACCTCGAATTTACATATTGTTAATGCAAAATATCCTGTCTCACCTCTTTCTGCTGTCCTAATCATCAGACTTGATCATTGCCCACAGTGAATTGAAAATCAACAGACTTGTGGAATACAAACATCTTTCTTTAGTAGGTTTTACCAATGTTTTACTCCTGCAGATATGTTACATCTAAACCAAAAGAAATCTGTCTCATTTCCATCAATCCAACCTGATTTGAAGTTTCTGACTAAGTGATTTCATGGGCAGCTTATAATCTAACAAATCCTTGTGTTCATCCTACCTCTGTCATCTCTCCATAAGAGCTACAATTTGCTGAAGATATTACCTATTATAGGGTCCTGTGAACTCTAATATTCATATATATATATATATATTCATATATATATGTATATATATGTATATATATTCATATATATATACATATATATATATAAATGACTGAGTTCACGAGTGCCTGGTGGACACCACTGACATTTGATAAATGTCCATTTTCTTTCTGCCCCTTTGCTTTTTTATAGCTAACTAAGTGTATTTAGAACTACTGCAAAAAATTATTTTAAAAAAAATTTTTTGAGACAGGGTCTTGATATGCTACCCTGGCTGGCCTTGAACTTGTGGCAGTCCTCCTGCCTTAGCCTCCCAAAGCCTAGGATTACAGGAATGTACTATCATGCCCTGCTGATTTAAAAATTATTTTAAAATAATACTCTAGTCTTTGTCTATAGTACTTATAGAGCACACATCCAAGTATACTGTTAATGCTAGAAGATAAATTTATCTGTGACTTTGATAATAGAAAACACAATAGCAGCATACTGTGAATCAGCTTCTAGAGATTTGAAACTTCAAAAACCTTTTATCATAACCAAACAGCCTAATATAACCATATTTTTGCTCAAGTAGATGGAGTGGCTTTTAAAATTCTATTTAATTTAATTTTTTTTTTGAGACAAAATCTTGCTAAGTTTCCCAGGCTGGACTTGCTTGTTTGTGACCCTCTTGCCTTGGCCTCCTAATGCACTAGAAATACAAGTGTGCTCCATAACATCCAGTAGAGTAGCCATTGTTCAACCAAATACACTAAGAACTTGATGAGAAACTACTATTACTATTCCTAACAGATATGCCAAGAGCTTGGTAACCTGACAATTAATGCAAAGCCTCCTCTCTTTTTACAATAATAGATCTCACCTGTTTCAGGAAATCTTATCAAGCGTGAATTTATTTTAATATTTAGCCTACATATTCTGAATGTTTTGAAATCATGTGCACAGTCAGACAATAGATGTGTTTCTATTTTGGTGAAAACTACATACTGAAATATACAGTGTATATAAAGCTGGCCAGTGTTCTTTAGGGCCACAAACCAGACTACAGAGGTAGGTGATTCAATCTAGTGAGTGATTCATTCTCTTCAAATAGTGAGTCAGATCCAATTGTTGCTCGAGATTTCTTAGATCAAGGGTCAGCAGCCTCCTTCAGAGAGTTTACCGAGTATTTATTCATTCATTCCTAAGAGGGAGTCAGCCTGAAAAATAGGAAGCATTGCAGTCCAAGATCCAAGGGAAACAAACTCCAGTTTTATAGCAGTAGGGTGACAGGGAATGGGCGTGACAGGGAACGGTAGACGGTTCATTCCTCTCCTCCCTTCTCCCTCTCTCTTTTCTCTTCCATTCTCCTATATTTACTTAGGGAAACTTCATTAAGCCTCAAGAGTTTTCCCCAATACAAAATAAATACTTTGGACAGCCAAGCAGAATTACATGCCTGTAATCCTAGCACCCAGGAAGCTGAGAAGGAGGATCACTGAAAGTTCAAGGCCAGCCTGAACTATATAGTGAGACCTTGTCTCAAAAACAAAACAAAACTCTGAGAACTTACTATACCTGATTGTTTGCTGATTTAATGGACATAGTTGAAAGAAGAAATGCTCACAGGAAAGATGGAAGAATACTAAAACATAAAATAGGAATCTAAGTCTCTCATATTCTTTTGACAGAGGGTCTTAGGTTCATGCAGTTCTTTATTACTGAAAGCACAGTTCTATCACAGTCATCAACAAAAGGAACCTAGTTGTTTAATATTTTCTTTCCTCTCCTAATTTATATTGAGTAGTATGTGAGGACACAAAGAATATGATACTAATATTTGTCATGAATCTGTTCTTCAGAATCATGAAAAACCACATCCACATGCACAGACACAAACACAGACACAGATACAGACACAAACATATACCTTCCTTGCCCTGCCATTATTATTTAATCATCTCAATTTGCAATTCAAGTTAAAATGTGATGCAGATGAAAAACCAACTTAGGATTTAGGTTCATCATTTCAGAGCATACTGACCACTCTTGCTTTGCTTAACTACCACAGAATATTTTCCCAGAAAACTTTTCTATATCAGAAACCTGAATAGTTTGTCCCATATTTATAAAATTCTTAACATCATTGGATTAAGGTAAAAGCACATTCCAGAATGAATTAAATAGTGAATTAACATGTGCTTATATTCAACACTTTAGCCATAAATAAGCTTTTAAGTTTTTTTCCAAGTTTAGTCTCCACTGGCTACTACCCTGAGGATAAATTTCCTAATCCTTAGGATGGCCTGTGTATTTGGGCTTCTGCCTTACTTTTCTAACTTCTTCCCATGCTCTACCCTGGCCACTATATTAACCTTCTGTTAGGGCCTTGAATGAGCAGTGTTCTTCTCTTCCCAAAACCATTACATAAATTGCTCCCTCTGTCTAGATAACTTTTCTCGTAGGCTACTATGCTTCAAGCCTAAACTTGAACTTGTTTGGACAAACCTCTGCCTGCTCACCCCATCATGCTAAGTAGGACACTATTCTATGTTTCTGTGACACTTTACCCTTCTTCTTCATGACACTGCTTATGTTTGTATTTCTTTGTTCAGTATATATTACCTCCAACTAGCTCAGTAAGGATAGATAATGTGCTGATTTTTGCCTTCTGGTATATTATTCTCCTGAATGATAGTACAAAAGGTACTTCATTAATGTTGAATCTGTAAATTAAAAAAAAAATCAATGGAAGAACCATGACTTTCAAGTAAATGCTTAAAATTTGTGACTACCTTACTGAAGAATGTTCTCTAGAAGTAATTCCTAAGCCGTAAGAATTTTATTGGGCCATCAACCAATATTTAACAAAATGAAAGTTTTAATTGAATAAAATTACTTAAGCATTGAGTAAAGATTACACTTATAAGACTGAAGATACCTCAGGCTGGGCTTGGTAGCATATGCCCATAATCCCAGCACTCAGAAGGCTGAAGCAAGAGGATTACAAGTTCAAGGGTAGCCTGGGCCATATAGTGAGTTCAAACCAGCCTGGACTACATGGTGAGACCCTGTGTCAACCAAACAAAACAAACAAAAAAGATTAAGGATAACTAATCAATTATTTCACAGTAAAGTCTCAGATTTCAATGTAGAAAAAGGCTTCAGCATCCCCATTTAAAAAATTTTACTCCATGCTTTCTAATTTGGGATTCGGTGATGCTATTAACCATTTCATTAAACGGCAGGAAAAAGAGATATTGCCGAGGGATGACAGGAAGAGAGTGGACAGGCCATCAGCTAATCGGAAAACAGGGCAGAAAAATTACATTTAAAAATTCAGGGAAAAAGTGGGATCAGAAGTTCAGTGTTTTCTGTTTCTCACCAGAAAAGTGTTTACAAATCCTAGGATTATTCTTATTTTTTCTCTTGTAACGGGATAGGCCTAAATAACTTGAATGCACCATTCTTGTTGCACACATCTATAATCTCAGCACTTGGGTGGCTGGGGTGGGAAGATCATGGTGTTAGAGGCTATCCTGGGCTACATAGTGACATCCTGTCTCACTAAACCAAAAATGGTACCAGGCGTGGTGTAACACACCTGTAACCCCAGCATTTGAGAGGCTGAGGTAGGATCCCATCACCATGGATTTGAGGCCAGCCTGGTCTACATAGTGAGTTCAAGAACAGCCTACACTGCATAGTGGGACCCTGCTTCAAAAAACTAAAACAAACAAAATAAAACAAAATGACCTCCCCCAACAACGATGATGATGATGATAAATTGAATATAACATTCTTGAAGAATGAGCCAGCCAGCATGATGGTGCTAAATGTAATCTCAGCACTCTGGCAGGCCAAAGCAGGAGGATCACAAGTCCAAGCCCAGCCTAGACAATTTAGCAATTTAGTGAGAATTGCCTCAAAAAAAAATTTTTTTTAAGGACCAGAGATATAGCTTAGTCCAATGCTTTGGGTTCAATCCTCAAGAATAAATAAATAAATAAAATTTAAAAAGTGATACCTCATTTCAAAGTATATAATTTGATTAAATTATGTTTCTGGAGGCAAACTGTCCAATTAAACTAAATAACATGTAATATGCCTAGCAGTGTCTGGCACTTACTAGAAACTCAACAAATAGTGCTTCTCTTTTTGTGCACTAGGCATAGAGTAGTGTAGGTTAAACTTCTCTTTTTATGCACATAGGCATTGCTAGTATAGGTTAAACTTTTTTTTAAGCAAACAATGCTGGGAGAATTGTATTTGTGGAAGGGCAGGTACAGAGCACACTGCCTTAAAATCAGCAGTGTCATATGACCAAATATCAGTTGCCAAGAAACAAACAGCTTTTACCTACTTATGGAGGATGTCTCAATTCATTACCTGTCTTATGTTTAAATTAAATGAGACTGATCTGTCTGAAAGCTAAAAAGCATAGAGGTTCATACAGAGCGAAATGAGCTGCTCAGGCCTTCCCCTGCCTCCTTTCAAACTAACCTCTCTGGAGTGATTCTAAGCTAGCATGTGCTGGGTCTCTCACTTGCTTGTTTGCACTTTCTGTCTCTTAACCATTTGCTGAAGTGTTTCTGTTATGGTCCTCCAAGTCACGCAATCCTTTGTCCAAGCGTACATGGATGGTTTTAGTTCATTAATAGTGCTCCTATGGTGAGACCAAGTTTATAAGACGTGCTAAGTATTGAAATGTAACATAGGGCAGTGGATCTAGATGTTACAAAAGGTTATCAGCTGTTGAAAGAAGGGGAAACTTTTTCTGTTAAGTATTTGAGGGAAAACAAAATGTGGGTATTAAAGCACAACAAGAATATTAGGCAGAACTAAAAGTTTAGGATATGTATAGAATATTCAATTAATGATCAATTCCTATCTTTCTCTGCATTTTTAAGATAAATTTATATCTAAATTAAAAATTTTACTTTCAGGAACCTTAATCTGGGTGTGTCCTAATAGAAGAACTTTGATGAATCACAAATCCTGTAGAATTTTAGTACTCATTTATTCTTTCATTCAGCCTTCCAGAATACATTAAGAATTTTTGTAAATCATATGCTACCCCTCTGAATGCAAGTCATGAACAAAATAGTCTTTCTCTCAGAGCCTAAAAGTTAGAGGAGACCTAAGAGAAAGGGCACTTACTGTCGTAAGTAATACAGAGCGAAATGAGCTGCTCAGGCCTTCGCCTGCCTCCTTCAAACTAACCTCTCTGGAGTGATTCTAAGCTAGCATACTATGGTGGAGGTCTTTGAATCATTTCCTCTTGAGATCAAGTACAGACATGCAATCAGATAATCCATGTAGGTATCCCAGTCAACTACAATTCTTCAGAATGAGATTTTCCAGAGTCTACTTTTGCAATTTCTCAGCAGAAAAAGTAGTACATACAGTTCAGAAAAGTGACAGAGTATACCAGAAAGATATAAAACTCTATAAAATATGACTACAAAATAGACTTTGTCAGAAAGACAATACAATGTTAATAGCATTTATTCTGCAGTGGTAGAGTGCTTATGGGTAAATTTTATTTCATATCTTTTTCAATATCTCCCACCAACCACAAATTAGAGTTGATTTTATTATTGTTACTATGGTTTTTAGGAGTTTCGTTCTTTGTTGCTATTGTTGTTCTGTAGTACCGGGGATCAAGCCCAAAACCTCACACGTGGTAGGCAAGTGCTCTACCACTGAGCTACATGCCTGAACTGTCTGCTGTATCACAAGAGGCTGAATTTAACACTGGAAATTTAGAGTTAGATTTAAAATAAATGTAATAGTTGACAATAGGAAAATAATCTCATAGGCAATTTCTGTGATTCTAATGAAATATCAGCTACTGATACAAGCAAAAACTGCTGAGGGTGATCATATTTGAATACATTATTAGTGACTGTCTTTAGTAATTTCGGATTTACTTTCAGGAGCCATTATATGCTGAGAAACATGATACATCCTGGGTAAGATTCATAAAAGAACATTCTAAGTAATAAAAGTCTAAAAGTAAACTTTTATTTAACCTTTTTGCCTTCTCTCATCTTCGTGATTGTTTCTTCTCCTTCAACTTTAAGTCATAACCCTGGCCCCTCGTAATTATACAACAACCTCATTTACTCATTTCTTTGAAGTATGACCTATCAGAAACCTCACATTTTCCCTCCCTCTCTCCTTTCCTTCTTTTCTTTCTTCTCCACTCCATCTCCTCATTCCTCCCCCGCCTCTCTTATTGAGAAGGAAAAGGAGACTCAATAAAACTAAACTGAAAGAAGAATGAATAAAGGCGATGAAAGAGAAAACTGTGGAGTCTGGAGGGGAAAAAGAAGAGCCAGGTGAGCAAGGAAGCACACTGCCTAGTTACAGTAATACTGTGAGACACTCATCTGTTAGAATCCACTTTCCATGAGAAATCTTAAAACGCCAGATTCCCAGTCAATCTTAAAAAGCAAAATAAAGCACTTTGTGATGGCTGATGTATATTTTCAGACTCAGCGATCTCTAACTTCTTAATGGGAAATCCTTAGTTCTGCTGCTATGATTGGTGACAGTAATGATCCTATTTAAGATCTAATTCAAAAGCCTGCTCCAAACTGTGAGAAACTGCATGTCACCATTTTAAAGAGCACTATTCTCCAAATGGATTACTTTAATCTGTCATGTGTGTACAAAGTGGAATGTCATTCTACTCTTTCCTGTGGAGTAAAGTTAAGAGTGAAGGAAGAGTGAAGAGTGGTTTGGATCTCAAATGTCCTTCAAAAGTCTCATGTTTGGAGTTGGAGCCTGGTGCCTGGTCCAAGAAGGCAGGTCCCTGTGGACATGACTTAGAAGGGTGTTTTCTTGTCCTTGTCCCAAGCAGTACCCTTGTCTCGGCTTCCTGGCCACATGAAGCAAGCGGCTTTCTTCCACTGTGCCCTTGGCCATTCTGCTTCTGCCTTGGAGCCAACCAGCCATGGACTGACGCCTCTGAAAAACATGAGCCAACTGAACCTCTCCTTTAAATTGTGTCAGGTATTTTATCCCAGTGATGGGAGAGCTCATTAACACAACATCATGTAAATAAAACAAAGACTGAGGGCTAAGTGTAGAGCTCAGTGTAGAGCTCATGCATGCAAAAAGCCCTTAACAGAAACAAACAAACAAAAAAAACAACACAGTTTTTAATCTATTATATACTCTGCAGATAGAGATCTTGGGGGGGGATCAGAGATTATACATTCCAGAACACTCATTTTCTTGCAGCCCCTCAAAGAATTATTAAAATGCACAGAATGAAATTTAGGACAAAGACTGATGACTTAAGCACTAGACTTTAAGCACCAAATATATTCTTCACTTGATCTTAGCCAAAAGGCCGAGAAGCGATACCAAATATATTCTTTAAACATTTCTCTGACAAATGTGTACAGGAAAGAGGGCCCCCCAAAACAAACAAAACCAAAAACTAAAGTGGGTTTATGTTCTGCTTCCCACCCCAAGCCAGAAGTTCTGAGGAAATTTATGGTTGTTCTAAATAGGTTTCTGGCATCTAAGAATAAAAGAAACTGAATTCCCAGTACCCGAGTAAAGGCAAATGTAACAAGACAACAGGCTCCCCACCCTTAAAAGTCCCAGGGAAATAGTCAAAATGGTGTGGTAGGCTCACACTTTGAAGTTCTACCTCTTCTCCCAAAATTTCAGTATGGAAAAAGTGGAAAGATGACTCTGGGTTTGTCATGACAATAATCACCTCTGATCCTCAGAAGTGAAAACAATACAATGGCTTAGATAATCTTCTGGGTCTGGAAGCAAGTAGAAGTTTTCTTGGAGTTTGAACTCTCAGTAGAGAGATCAGAGCCATTCCAAATGAGGTATTGCATTTGTGTTTCATCATAAACTGGAATTTAGGAAAAAATGTGATTTCTACCAGAGAAGGAAGTTTAAAAAACAGAACAACTGCTTAACTGCAACGGTAGGAGAGAGAGAAGTCAGCACACATAAGAAGTCGGCCACTCTGCTTTTTGGTTCAGTAGAAAAACCTGCAACACCCCCAAAATCCCTGAGAGACAAGAGTCCTGAGACATCTACCTCTGGTCTGGGATGTGTGTGTGTGTGTGTGTGTGTGTGTGTGTGTGTGTGTGTGTTCCACATGGAGGCAGCACTAAAATAGAAGATGAGCCTGGAGGGTGGTGCAGGCCTGGTACCAGCTGCTCAGGAGGCTGAGACAAGAGAATAGCAAGTTTGAGTCCAGCCTGGGTAACTGAGTGAGGCCTGATCTCAGTAACATTTTACAAAAGTTCTGGGAACTGTAGCTCAGTAAGAGACCACCTGCTTAGCATACAGAAGGCACTCAGTTCTGTCCCCAGTACTGCACAAACAAAAACAGGAAATGGTACAATAGGTAGAAAAAGAAATTAGCATTTAAAGATGAGCTGCAAATTACAATTTGTACACAAGAAATATCAACACTAAAAATATCAGCCATCCTCTCAATTTAACTTACAGTAATCTGGGTATTGAATAAAGATATGTTAAAATTTTCACTGTAGTTGTTGAACTACTAATTTTTTCCTGATAATTCTGTGATTTTTTTGTTTTGTTTTGTATCATGGTTATATGGTTAGCTAGATGGACCTTCTAATGTTTTATTTTTTATTGTTATGTAATCTCTATCCTTATTAATGCTTTTTGCTTTGTACTATTTTATCAGATGCTAAAAAACTTTCTTTTGGTGTTTGATTCCTATAACTTTTTATTATTTTCAACCTTCTTATATTGCATTTTTCTAATCCTCACAGTTTGTTTTTTAACTGAAAATTTCAAATTATATGGATAAAATCAATTTGAACATCATCTGTACTATACTCTTGCATATATTTTTGGTGTTCTGCTCCATTCTTTTCCTTTTTATGATTGTTTATTTGTTCTTCCTGCCTTCAGTGGATTGATAACTTTAAATTTTGTTTTCTTTTTACCACTGCTGGTTTTAATTCTGTAAATTATATATTTTTCTATTCTTTTAAAAGCTACTCAAATTTTGGACATGCATACCTAACCATTTGTTTTCCTAAGATTTTCTAAAGTTTCCAAAATAAACCTGTCCTCTTACCTCAACAAGATTGTGTTTTAGCTACTTGATATATTGAGTAGTTGTTTTTATATAGAATTGTAGTTCTATATCTTCAGAATTTAAAACTCTACAATCACAGGATAATTACATTTATCAATCTAATTTATTTATTTTTGTGTTTATCATTTATTGCCACAACTTTATTCTGAATTCACTTTTATTATTGCAATGGATTCTTTTTTTTTTTTTTTTTTTTTTTTTTTTTTTTTTTTTTTTTTTTTTTTTTTTTTTTTTTTTTTTTTTTTTTTTTTTTTTTTTGGTACTGGGGATTGAACTCGGGTCTTTGCGCTTGCAAGGCAGGCCACTGAACTGCTGAGCTAAATCCCCAGCCCCTGCAATGCATTCTTTAGTGGTTCTTTCAATAAAAGTGTATGGTTAATAAACTCAGTTTTGAAAAAATGTTCTCTATTTCATTATTCTTGAATTATAGCTTAGCAGGATATAGAAATTAATATTACTGGTAATTTTCCACTCAGTGCTTTCGGAAATGGCATCAGTTGGCTTATGGTATCTCTTGCTAATGATAAGAAGTTTGGTTATAATTGTTCTTTTATGTGTTATAATTGTTCTTAATCTGTGTTTCTCTTTGATGGCTTTTGAAATTTTCTCTTTATCCTTAATGTTAAGTATGGTCATTACTGTGTATCTAGGTATGAATTTGTTTTCAGTGTTTTGCACTTAACATGTAATTTCATTTCAAGAACCTTAGAACAGTCTCAATATCTCCAAATATTTTCACCCTCTTTTATTTTTTCTTTCTGAAACTGCTATTAGGTATGTCTTTCATGGGTTCTTTGTATTATGGTGTAAGAACATACTTCAAAACATAGTATCAAGAAACAATAACCATTTTATTATGCTCACAAAATCTATGTAATAGGTATTTGGATAGATAGGTACATCAAACATAGCTTGACTCTGCTTCACAATGATCAAAGTACCAGATGAGAAGACTTGAACAATGGAGAGTCACTTGAAATTTCTGGAAGATTTTTCACGCACATGTCTCGTTTAGACTCTCCTGAAGGGCTAGAGTGCCTACATGTGACTTCAACATGTGGTTTCTGCATGTCATATTGGCCTCACAGCAATCTGATTTTTATTTTATTTATTTATTTTTTTGTACCGGGAGTCAAACTCTGGACCTTGCCCTTGTAAGGCAGGTGTCGGCACCACTGAGCTAAATCTGCACCCAGCAATCTGATTTTTTACGTGACTGCTCAAGGCTCTAACAGTGAGTGTTCCAACAAAAGAGCTATGGAGTTTTATTATCTAGTAGTGTCCCTTCTACCTTTACATAGACCCAGCTCACCCATGATCAGGAATGCAGAAACTACACTTGCATCTCAGTGGGAGGAGTGTGAAAGAATTTGTGATCATAAACTGCCACAGTATGTCTGGTCTTCTGTAACATGTTGGATTCTGAAAATTCTTTAGTGTAATCTTCCAATTCAATAATTGTTTCTCTTACTGTGATAGGCTTTGAGTTTATTTAATTTTTTATCACATCTCCATTTTTATATTTTGTTATGTTCCTATTTATTTCTATTTATATCTGTGTTATTTAACTCTTTCACAATGATTATTTATCCCTTTGAATATAATCATTTTAAAGTTATTTTAAGATTACTTTGAAAACTGGAATCTCTTCCAGTAGGAAAGAATCATCTTGAGAAAATAGAAGATTTCTGTAATGCATACATACATGAGTAAATATGTTCCCCCAACAAATGGAGAATAAGTATTTTTCAAATGCATATCATTTATGTAATTTGACCACATATCCAATAGGCCAGATATTTTGAAGAATCACAGTACAGACAACATTCCATTAGCAATCAATGTTCATATGTTTTAAAATAAAATTACATTCTTAAATAAATCATGACTTGAAACTATAAACCATTTAAAAAATAATAAAATATTGCATGAAACAAATAAATATCTTTTTTCTTGAAAAGAAGACAGAAAGCATAAATAAGCAACTTTAGAACATCAAACAAGGGCATAACCATAGGTACATAAGGTAAAGATTTAAAATGACATTTTATCGTGTAGCTTAGAATTTATAATAAGTAGTTTATGTCAAGTTGAAAACCAAGGTGAAACTGACAGTTTACCACAGAAATAAAGTGACTCAAGAAGAAATAGAAATCTGAATAAATCAATTATTAAAAAAGAAAATAGATCAGTATTCAAGCATCTCTGAATCCTCCCTTTTCTTTCTTCTATTCTTTGTCAAAAAAGCCAGGCCCATTGGTTTTAAAGGTGAATTTTACCAAATTTCATTGGACAAATGATCCTACTTTATAATATTTCAGAAAAAAAAGGCATAAAGGTTACTGAGCTCATTCTATGAAATTATTATAATCTCTTTCTTTGTGGTACTGGGGGCTACATCTCCAGTCTTTAAAAAAAAATTTTTTTTTTAATTTGAGGTAGGGTCTTGCTAAGGTAATAAGATTCCCAGGCTGGGCTGGAACTTGAGATCTTCTCACATTGCCTACCAAAAGTATTGGTATTATAGGCATGCTCCACTATGCCTGTGCTGCAGTTACTATAACCTTGATACCAAAATAGGTTGAGAAATCTATGAACAAAGAAATTTAGAAATTCATCTCACATTTTGAAAATTGACACTAAAATGATAAAATAATAATGACATATCTAGCAAAGAATACAAAATAGTACATCACAGAATACTTCACAATACATGCAAAGGTCAGACCCCATCTAAAATTTATCTCATCCACCTCATTCAGAGTAAAGAGAAGATCCATGTACTCCTTCCGAATAAAGACTCAAAAAGTCAAGACTGAGCCAGGTGCGGAGGCGCACACCTGTAATCCCAGTGCTCGGGAGGCTGAGACAAGGCCAGCCTGGACAACATAGTCAATACAGGACCTACCTGGACTACACAGTGAGACCTTGTCTCAAAAAACTTAAAAAAAAAAGTCAAGTAATGTAATTAAAAATAAAATCTCTTAGCTAACTAGTGTCTCAGTTACTGAGACAAAACACCCAACACCCACAACTCATGAAGGAGAGATTCGTTTATTTTGGCTCACTGTTCCACTCCCTGGTTGGTTGGCTTTAAGGTAGAAACAGCATGATGGAAGGGTCTGGCAGTGAAAGGCTGTGCATATCATGGCAGTGAGGAAGCAAAGACAGGAGGGAGGAGTTGGGGAGGGCCCTACCGCCTAACAGCAAGTCAGCTATGAACTCATAGTCCACTGATAAGTATAGCATCATTATGATCCAATTACCTTCTAAATACATGAAACTTCTGGAGGACACCCCAGACGTAATCTTTAACATTTCACCTCTGGTCCCTAAAAGACTCATGTGCATCTTTATGCAAAATGCATTTAGTCCAACTCTAATAGTCTCTAAAGTTTTAGCAATTGCAGTTTACTGAAAATTCCAAGTGCAAAGTCTCCTCTGAGATTTAAGGCAAACTCTTAGCTATGAACACCTGTTAAAGTCAAAGAAAGTTAAATACTGCTGGCATACAAAGGCACAGAGTAAACAGTCTCATTCCAAAAAGGAGAAATAGGAGGATCAAAAGGAATGGGGCAAAAGCAAGACTGAAACCCTCTCAGGAGCATGCTGTTGGAGTCCAAGGCTTTCTTCTTGAATCTAGGTGGAAGCCTTCCTGATGCCATAATCTTCCATTCTGGTTTTATAACCAGAACCATGTGGATGATGCCAAAATCTGCCACCATCTTGAGCAATAGCGAGGCCCCCTTGGATAATGTCTACAACGGCCTCTGAATCCCTGAGAGGCTAAATTGGAGGAATTAATTTCTTAGGTGGTCCTTTTGGAACAAGGAGCCCAGGGGCCCTCTTCTCAAAACAAAGCTTTATACTTTTACACATTTAAGCCTGCCAAGGATAGGATTTTGCTTATTCCTGAGACATCTTCAAGCCTTCCTATTGTCTTGATGCAAAGTAGTTGGCTTCTTTTTAATGCTCTATTTGCCCAGATTTTGTAAGCACTTCATTTCTGCCAAAACGGAAATCTTTTCAAATAGGATTTTTGCTTCTGATTCTCACTGTGAACCTGGCAAAAAGCAGCCAGAAGTACTTGTGCCACAGTCTGAATGTTGGGTTGACCTGAAATTTTCTCCTCCTGATGAATTAGTCTTCTACCCTAATCTTAGTTTCTTGCAAAATCTCAGGATATGGGAAAAAATACAGTCAAATTTTCTGCCAAAACATAACACACATAGCCTGGACTGCAATGATAGTGAAACTTTGGAAGCTTTCAATAATAAAAGGCTCTTGCAACATGGGTGCCATAGATTCACCACTACTGGCATAGAGTCCACCTGCCAAAGGGGTCGATGTTCCCATCTGAAACCTGAGCCTGACCTTTGTGATAAGCATTTTTCTTTGTATCAGGTATCAAATTCAGGACCTTGCGTGCTTATGAGGTGAGTCATCTGCATTTGAATTAACATTCTGGTTGTCTGAGCTCTGCGCAGAATCTCCCATCAAACTTGGCTTACATCATTCTAGAGCTTGCCTAAGTGGCATTTCCCAATCTTTTCAAACTTCTTCGGCAAACCATTTCCAAAAGCTTCTGAACCACATAGTCAGGTAATCACAGCAACAGCCCTACTGAAGACGAGAGTACACTCTTCCAGGTCATGCCCACAGTGACCTATCTCTAACCAGGTCCCACTTCTTAACAGCAAGTCAACTACAAACTCATAAGTGGGCTAATATAGTATAGCATCCCCATGATTCCCCATGACCCCTTTCCAAACAAATGAGGCTTTGGGGGAACATCATATCTGAAACATAACACTGGGGGTATTAACTTAATGCAAGTATATATGAATAGTCTCAAACAAACATAATTATGAGGTTATAGATGCATTCCTATTAAAAGAAAGAACAAGGCCAGACTGCTGTAAATTAAACATTATACAAGTTTGATTCCTTGTACTTAAAAAATAAAGTACTTTCTATTGGAAAAAAAATTAAACAATATCATTTCTTAGCTAGAGACTCTAAGCCATTCCACAAGAAAAAAATTAGAATTGAACAGTGTTGTTAAATGCATGATCAGTATAAAAATCAACAGCAATTCTACATATCTAAGTAATGGGAAATCCATACACCTATGTCATAGTGTCATAGGTCATAGATCTATGTCATAGATCACATTTACAATGGCATTTTACAAAAATTACAATTTTTGCTTTCAAAAATGTGCAGAACCTTTATAAGAATGTTATGAATACCAAGGGGCAAAAAGAACTTTGCAATAAAAAAATATAATACTAAACTCAAAGAACAGAAAATCAATAGCACAAGGATTATGATTCTCCTATTGAAATTTCAATCAAAACCCCAACAAGATTTTTTGGAATCTGATAAGTTGATTCTAATAAATAAAAAGTCTAAGAAGAGCCAAGTAATGCTAAAAAATGAAGGAAGCATGATTTACCCTTACAGAAGACTATAAAACTATAGTATTCAAATAGTTCAGTACTGTAGTATGAAAAAGAACAATGAGATAGACATGAGTATATGTGAGGCCTTGACATTTGATAGAGGAAATATAGATTTAGTAGGTTCAGGGCTCCTGGACTTTCTATACTAAGAAAGGAAAGGAAAAGAAAAAAACCCTAGATCTCTGTCTCATACCACACACCAGCAATTCTGAAACTTTTGGTCTTAGGACTCCCTTTACACTTTTAAAAATTATTGAATATCCCACAGATCTTTTGTTTATGTAGGTTATCTTTTAGTTATGTATGTTATACCCATTGTTCTTTACTCTTAGTTAATTTTTGCCTTGTTGAGACAAAATACACAACACCCAATGTCAAAGGAGGAAAGGTTCATTTTGGCTCCCAGTTTGTAGGGATTTCAGTCCATAGTCAGTGGCTCCAAAAAGGCAGAGGGGCATCATAGAGGAGAAACAGCTCATGGTGTTGTAGACAGAAGGCAGCAAGCTGCCTGGCTTCTTTCTGTCCCTTTATATTCATTTATATTGACTAGGGCCACCCACACTCAAGAGAGAGCTTCCATTTTCCACACCTAGAACTACGCTAAACCAATTTAGTTATCATGTCCCAGTCTAACATACCCTAGACCTAGCCACCTCCAAAACCCACCTATGAGTACATGAAGCTTTGGGGTAACATCTAGATACAAACCATAGCATTTACCATATTAGAAATTAAAACAGATTTGTAAAGTACATGAACATATAAGTATATTTCACTGCTCATAAGAAATGAGTGAAAAAAGAAACATCTTAGCAATACTATGAGAATAGTTTTGTTCTTACAAACCTGAAAGAATCTTTGGGGATTCCTAGTTTCCTATACTACAATTTCTTCTATAAAATAAATTCCAAATAAAAATGATCTAAATCTGTGACAAAATAAAGCTTTACAACTATCAGAAAAAATTAATATATGTGCTGCCAAAGTGAGCACATATTAGGAAAAAATAAAGGAAAGCATATTTATGATCACAGAAGAAGAAATGATTATTGATTTATTTTTTAAAATATTTTTATTGGTACAGTTTAGATATACAATACAGTTACATTCATCATTGGGATCTTGTACTCTTACATGACATATCTTGCTTCTTATTTTTTCTCCATTCCCCTAGCCTCTCTTCCCCACTCCAACTGAAATGATTATTGAAATGTGACATCAAAGGCACAAATTATGAAGGAAAGGTATAATAAATTTTGACATACCAAAGTGAGTATTTGTTTGATAAAATATATCCCATAAACAGAATTAAAAGGAAAGCAACAGTCTAAGAGAAATGAATTGTAAAATGTATATGAAACAAAGCATAAGTATTCAGATAAAAATAATTTACTTGTGTACATAAGAGATAGCCCAATGGAAAGATAAGCAAAATATATGCAATCAACCTCACTATAATCAGAGAAATGCAAATCAAAACATCTATCAGATTGCAAAAGTCTGACATTAGCAGTGGCAAGCTCTAGGGAAATGAGGTATCTTATCTATTGGTAGTAAAAATGTAAACTGGTACAACCTCTTAGGAGACTAACTTAGAAACAACCTGCCTAGTTGAAAATAAATGTATTCTATGGTCTGGAAACATCTATAATATAGAAAAATGTTGAAAATATGCATTAGAAAACATCAACTCATTTATGTAGTGAATAAACATTTGTCAAGGTCTTGTATAAACCAAGTATCAAGGTAGTCGATGAACAAGCCTGTGCTCCTGAAATTAAGATGGACTTGGGGTGAGAACCTAAGACAGTTCAGACAGTGGTGAGTACCTAGAAGGGATAGGGGCTGGAAATGCTGCTTTAGGTAGGATGCACAGGAAAGGCCTTCCTAGCAAAATGTATCTGAGGCGATCAGAAAAGTGCTTAAAACCTGAGGAAAGCACATTTCAGGCAAGGAATAGCATGTGCAAATGCTGAGAGCAGATATGAGCTTGAAAGATCAGAAGAAAGAAAAAGCCAAGGAGAAGTGAGGTGGAGGTACCGAGTGGAGAGTGGAAGATGAATCGAAGGGTTGAGGTGCAAGGACTAGATCACATAGGTTGTCAGCCTAGGTAGAGAATGTAGACTTTTTCCTAAGGAATGTGCAACTATTGGAGAATTTTGTGCAGAGATTATTACTGATCTAATTTGCATTCTTAACAGGCCACTGGGGCTATGCTGTGGAAAGACTACAGGGCATAGGGTAGAAAGATATGGCAGTAGTAGGGAAGACGTTGGTGGCTTGGATGTGGCTGGAAGCATTGAAAAGTGGTTGAATCCAGAATATACAGTACATTGAGGACAACTTGGTGATGCAGCTACAAAGTGTGAGGAAAAGGTTTCAAAGATGAATGAAATTTTTGGCCAAGTTTTTGGCCTGGTGCCTGGTGATATCATTTACTGCCATGGGGATAATTTAACGAATAGCAGATGGTAAAGAAGGGTAGGAAAGAATAATTCTTGCAATATTATTTGTATTAATAAAACACTAGAACAGCCCAAGGATGAATTAATAGGAACAAACTGTGGTATATTCATTGTACAAAACACTGTTCAGAAGTTTCAAAAAAACTGACTGTATACCAATACAGGCTATGTGTGAAAACATTCTGCAAGACCTACTTGTAGTGTATTATATTCAGTATGGTACTGTGTATATCAAAAATACAAATACAAGGGATTGTGTTTTTCTGTAATTATGTTATACAAACGCATAACAACACAGACTACCCTTGTACAAAACGTATGATACTCTGTAGGGAGTAAAGGAAGGAAGGGAGGGAGTTAGGCTGGAGAAGGGAAGATCTGTACTGTTTTATCTACACAGTTTTAGTTCTTTAAAAAATAGCTAAAGGAAATATAAAAAAGCAGTAGCATCTGACATTCTGAGTGTTAAATATATTGATCATTTATATTTTTATTTGCACTTTAAAATATTTTATTTTCAAGAAAGGATAAAGAAAGACTGTGCTGTCTAGGAACATGGGCCCAAGTCAGAGTTACCCATCTGTGGAATGACTTCCTGTGCACCTGAGGGCCTGAAAGGATCCGACAACCCCACAGCATGGGACAGTGGTCAGGTGGTGATGACACTCTGCCAGATACCAGTGCAAATTGACAACGGCTGCAGTGTATGTGACCTGGGTCCTCCAAGTCCCTCCACTCTCCGTGACATAGTAAAATCCCCAGACTCTGACGCTGAGACACAACCCAGAGAAAGGGAAAGAATTGGCCAAGAATATGTTCTGACCAATGTTAGGATGTAAACTTATAATTGAAGTTGAATTTATTCATACAAAAATGAAATTTTATAAACATCTAAGTTTATGCTGTATTTTTGTGTTAGAAAAAAAGCAAGGAGGAATAGATAACCTTCTCTTTGGGAGAGAAAAGCAGATTGCCTTGGGTAGGCAAGGAAGTGGAAAGGAGGGGAGAGGCTAGTAAACTGAAAGAAGTGACAATAGTGCAATAAAATAACTGGAAGCCCAGAAGCTGTGGCCAAATGTTGAGAGGTACGAATTTGAAATTTGTGAGGACAAAAAGTTTCCACCTCATTTTAAAAAACCAGATGTGGCCGCAGTGCTAGGGAAGCTGAAATAAGACAGAAGTGGAGACAACTGCAATTTCCCTTCTTTTCTCCTGATTTATATTTAGTGACTTATAAGAAATGTTTCTCACTTAAAAACTATTATCATGGATGAGTTGGCAATGAACGTATTCTACTCATTGTTTGGTACTTTTATATTTTGCAGGATACAGGAATTATAAAATAATGAAGTTAGAAAACACTCAACAAGTCGTGGTCTTCTCCCCTCTTTAAAATGTGTCAAGTTGAGTACACATGTGTAGGCTTCTATGTATAAAATTTTTTTAATTTTTTAGATAATCTACTTAAATCTCAAATCACTTCTGTGTGTGTGTGTGTGTGTGTGTGTGTGTGTTATTGAGGATTGAGCCCGGGCAGTTCTGTACTACATTCTCATTTCGTTTTAGATTTTATTTTGAGACAAGACCTCACTAAGTCGCCGCCTGGCCATAAACTTGTGGTCCTTTTGCCTCAGCCTCAGAGTGGCTGGGATCACAGACATGTGCCACCATGTCCAGCCTTAAATTACTTTTGCTCTAGGGTTGATCTATTTTAATTCAGTATCTTACTAAAATTCCCTGAATTCAATAAAATAATAAATTGTGCCTCACATTATCAGTGGAAGAGATAGGGTCAATGTCCTTCATACTTACCCACAGTTATAACTTCCCCATCTTTAGTTTTCATGTTGTAAAAAATGCATACAATTTTTTTAACACATCAAACTGTTGACCAGCAAAAACTTTATAACATGCCAGTCTGATAAAAGCTTAAGGAAGTAATCACTCATACAATAGATGGGTATGCAAACAATAAAGAAGAGTTTGGAGACATCCTTTAGAAATAAAATGCACAGGGCCGGGGATTCAGCTCAGTGGTGCCGCCACCTGCCTTGCAAACTGAAGGTCCCAAGTTTGATCCCCAGCACCAAAAAAAAAAAAAAAGAAAAGAAATAAAAATGCACATACTCAATGACTCAAATTCCATTTCTAGGTGGCCATCTGGTGAATCTGTTTAGTGCAAAATTACTATTAATATGAACTAGTGGCCACAATACTAGAATGGTAACATAAAATGGCCAAGAGATTCAGTGAATACGAACCAGCTGCTAAAATAACCAAGCTGCTAATTCTCAATATAATGTACTAGGGCTGGGATTTGGCTCAGTGGTGCTGCTGCCTGCCTTGCAAGTGTTAGGTCCTGAGTTCGATCCCTGGTACCAAAAAATTAGAAAAAAACTCAATATAATGCATTAATACAAATGATATCTAAGATATATTGATAAATGAAAAAATAAAGTGGAGAGCAGTATGTCTATATGCTATTCTCTGTGAGAAAAATGTGTATATTTATAAATACACAGGAATAGTGAGGAAAGGGAAATTAGGAAATTGGCAATAGCAATTATATCTGGGGAAGAAAATACAATTGAAAAAGTAGGAAAACATACTATTCATGATAAGCTCCTTTGTGGCTTTTAACTTTGTATACGTGTGGTACCTATTCAAAGATAAAAATTTAAAGCTAAAAAATCTATAGCAAGACAGAAAGAACAATTTATTTATTTATTAAACGTAAGTAGACACACCCATCTACACTTAAATTACTGGTGAAGCCTATGGTAGCAATTAACGGCCAATTGAAGAAATACATACACAATCAAACATACCTTCTTCAAAGACAGCGTCATCCTACAGAGTCCCCTTCACTTACACAGAAAAGACAACTTCTCAAGTGGTACAGTCTGGATCATTAAGGACCCATCTAACCCACAACATTTTCTTCTGTAAACTTGCTCCAGTTCTGGAAGCTCTTACTTCAATTTTTTTTTTTTTTTTTTAAGGAGAGGCACTGTATTTTCAGGAAGCCCCTGTTATAAATGCAGATATGCAACCTGGTAACCTGGTAACACCAGGATGGGTTTATTTGTAGGCTTCATTTGCAGAAAGCTCTTCTGGGAGGAACAAGGCTGGTGTTGTGGGAGAGAGTTTAAAAACTGTTTTGATACAACAGTCTTGCAAAGAAAATTTGCATGCTGGAGAATTGCCATGTGAGTAGTAACAGACATCATGAGATACTAAACATTAAGAGAAATGGAGAAGAGAATGAAACTTGAGAGTGTTAAATACAAAGTATGAACCCAATATTGACTGTATAGTAGGAGGAAGCTCTATGCTGAAATACAGAAAGGTCAAAAGTTACAGTAATTGAGTCCTGGTTGGCAATAGGCTCATGCACCTCAGTACTGTTTTTTTTTTCTTTCTAGTTTGTTATTGTTCTTTTAGTTTGGTTTTTTGATATAATAAAATATAACATTATGCATCACATACTCTAAGATATATTAATGTATGTCTTGGCATATTAATAAATGTTGCTCAAGTAATGTGTTCCATGATCAGATAAGTGTGGGCAATGGTAGTTTAAGTGCAGTTTTTCTCTCAGTAGGAATTTTCAGGGTCTATAACAAGAACATGTGTATTTCCCCAAGAGAAAATGTGCAGTTTGCCCAAAATTATCTTCCCCCAGAACTCTTTTTCATCACAGCACATCCTATGGAATAATCTTGTATGGGACACTTGGGGATTGCTGATACTTCTTACTCTTGTCCTGGTTTCCCCTTTCTATTCCGATGATCTTTCTAAACCTTACCTTACCTTGATCTCTCCCCAATCACTATATATATCCTGTATTATGATGTCCTAGCTGGAAAATGGCAATGCAAACTTTATGCAAGTTCTTCCTTAGCATTTGTTACCAGCCTTCTGTGCGTGTCTTAGTTACCTTCTCATTGCTGACACACAATACCCAACACTTGCAACTTAAAGGAGGAGAGGTTTATTTTGGCTCTTGATTCAGCCCATAGTTAGCTAACTCAAAGGCAAGTTGGTATGGCACAGGGGAGTGGCAGAGGAAAAGCAGCTCATGGCATGGTGCCACGAAGCAGAGAGAAGGAGAGAGGAGCAGAGTTAGACCCTTCCAGGCCACATCCTCAGTGCTTTTGCTCTTCTGATCAGACCTTACCTCCTAATAGCAAGTCACCTACAAGCACCCATAATCCAAACATCTTCAAGGTCTATGATCATGTGGGGATTTAGGGGGACATCTAGATATAACAAGACATGAATACCTGTAGGAGGCTCTGTCTATAACCTGTGAGATCGGAACAGGCCTGAATGCTACATTTTATTGGCAGTGAGGCCTGTCCTTTAGATAACCATAATATCCGCAATCTTGTCTTGCCTTCTTTTAGGCCTCAAACACTGAGGGCTAGGGGTATAGCTCAGAGGCACAGCACTTGCCTAACATGTGCAAGACTCCAGGTCTAATTTGTAGTAGAGAGAGAGAGAGAGACAGACAAAATATTCCTCAGAAAATTTTGTCTCATTCGAAAGACTCACAGATTCTTTTCTGAAGAGCATCGAAAAAGTAATTTTTCTTTACCCAGATCTCTTTAAAAATTGGTGAACTAATTAATCATATATAACAAACAATAGGCCTTTGTTAAAATCTTAATTTCTTGTAATTTCCCCAACCCCTCAGAGTAGCTGCTTCCAAACATCCCTGCTCTGCTTTTTAGTCACTCAACTTCTTTCCTTTCATACTCTTTCCAGATAGTTTTCACTGTGTAATACTGAAAGTTTTTTTAATTTTCATTTTTCTGTGGTACTGGGGATTGAAGCCTGGGCCTTTGTACTAAGTTACATCCCCGGCCCACCTTTTATTTTGAGACAGGCTCTCACTAAGACACTAAATTGCCTAGGCTGGGCTCAAACGTGATTCTCCTGCTTCAGCCTCCCAGAGTTCTGGAATTATAGGCCTGTGCACCAGGACTCGCTTTCACTGTGTAATATGACACTTTAGCTTCTCTTTTGTTCTCTCTCTCTTATCATTCTTTTTTTTTCTTTTAAATTGAATTTATTGGTACATTCTAGGTAGACAGTACAGTTACATTCATTCCTGGGATCTTGTACCTTTACATGCCAGGTCTTGGTTCTCATTTTTTCCTCTTGTCCCCCCCCTCCCTTCACCCCCTCCTCCCCTCCCCACCTTCAAACACTTTAATTCCATTTTCACATTTTCTCATATTTTTTTCCTTTTCCCTTGTCCCCCTTTCCCTATCGTTCTCACTGTCCCTACAACTTTGGTCCTTTTCTTCCTATTTCACGTTGCTAATTGTCCCGTTAGGATCTTGAGTACTATTTTAGTTTTTCACACCAGAGAAACTATTCGGTATTTGCATATGTGTGCCTTATTTATTTCACTTAGAAGTATATCCTCAAAATGTACCCATTTACCTATGAATGAATCTACTTTCTCACTCTTTATGGCTGAGTAGTATTCCATTTTATAGAAAAACCACATCTTCTTTACCCAGTTTCCAATTGATGGGCAGATGGGCTGTTTCCAAGTTTTAGCTATTACATACTTTATTTGTCCCTATTACCTTCCCCACTAAGTCCATCTACATCATAAGGAAGCTGAAAGATAATGGTCAATTTTTACAGGTGCACTTTGTCTCTGACTTACACATGTTTTATACAATATATATGATAGCGTATCATATATAATATGACATATTCAATATATATGACATATACATTAAATTGTGCCATGCCTAGTAGAGTTGTCATACTAGTCCTG